AAAACCTTTATCAGATTTTAAAAATGCTTGGAATGAAGAATAAAATATTAAATTCCAGAATAATGCAACTCACATGAACAACTATTCCCTCTTGATCCAACAAGTCTGTTTTGTAGGTAACCTCACATACTCTGACAAGGTCTTTAACATTGTTTTTCTTAAGAACCTGCAGTGTACAATAAATTAATTTAAAGTATACTTTTTATACACACAAAACAGTTATACATAATTAGATAAATAAAGCAACAAATAAATTTTTCATTACATACGAGGTGCTACATTATTTGTTATTCTGATAAATGCATTATATACCACATACAACACGCAGTCTCCTGTAACAATCTTATGACTTTTCTCTAAAACTTTTAACATCCAAGATGTAAGCTGTGTATGGTCTTAATATACAAGGTAAATAAAAAGAAAGTTATTTCAAATATCCTTACTTATACCTTATAGTAATAACGAGCTTAGGACAACAGTAAATTGTTCTTTGAAAAACAATTTCTCAACTAACAATACATCAGTATCACTGAAGGTCATTTCCTTCTAAATAATGGTTTTTACAAACCACATAGCTATACACATTTTAGTGAAATTTATCTTCTGTAAAAAAGTTTACTTCAAATGTGTCTAATAAATTCAATTATATAGTGAAAGCTAAGCCCTAATATAAAACTCAAATTTCCTTCCTCTGTCACTTACACATACATATTTTCTATTATACCAATAAAGTGAGTTAATAGTTCAACCTATCTTCTAACCATATGGCCTGTCATAAGTACATGTCTAACAAGAAGATTTCACTCCTTTCTTCAAATAAAAAATTATTTCAAACACAATACAAAAGACACCCAACCTTCTGTCACTCTATTATCATGTCCATCCTACAGTAACAATATAGCAGCCCAATGACATTTTAGCATCAGTGTTTGTGTGTGTGTATTTAGTAATGTGCCAAAATGTGACCAACTAAAACACAGTGAACCCTATGTACTTTATCTAAAAGCTGTACATAGCAGAAATGGTTGTTTTTTTAAATCACAATTACCCCTGTACATTTACAAATTCAATAAAATTTCCCTAATTCTCCATCAATTGATTATTTCTAACCAAATACATCCATATCAATACCAATTAAACAATGCAATGGTAAATTTTTATGCACTGCTTTTTTTCCAAACACACTAACAATTTGCATGTGCTCAAGACTAGAGATCTGTTTTCATTAATATTAGTAATGCTTAATACACCTTACAGCTCTTATTATATCTACTTGTTACAAAATTGATTTTTAATTTTTTAGAGGCTAATACTTGCAAGGATGATGTTTCCATATAACGGATGTCCAAAATAATCGAAAATGAAAGTGCTATGACTGTATAAGTGATAACTTGAAAAAAAAAATCAAAACAAGCATAACAGGAATTTAGGCATAGAATTTACAACTTTTCTTCTAAATATAGTTATAACTAATTTTTATTACAAAATTTGAAACGTTTGTCTTTGTTTTTATTACTATCACATCAATAAAACAAATGTATAGATTTTAAGTTTAAAAAATTACGGTTATTATTTTTTAATAAATATACTATGGTTTTACTGACTTTTAATGTTTGTAATCAGCATTTCTTTTTATTATGATCACCAAATAAACTGAAATTTTCATAAAATTAGACAAGTTTACTGTATGGTAGGCAATTGCAAAATATTGTGGTGCCTCAAAGATTTATTGAATATTGTTTATGTTCATCCTCTTCAAATATACATATATAAATTGTCTAAATGGTTGCTTAATTATATGTAATTCTAATAATAAAATGTTTTAAGTAAAAACAATATTACCTTAATCATGAGAGTAATACATTTTTATTATTCAATAATCAATTTATAGGATTTACTCAGTGGGGGATTACTGCATACTTGAAAAACAACTGTGACTGTGTGGTGGTATTTAATCAAAATAAGTAATTCATCCATATCAAGTAGATGTCCATAAAGCTTGTGAGAAAAAATATTTATTGACAAAAAGTATGTTTTTCACAAATATGCCAGTGCCAACTTTGAGAACTTTCTAATTAATTAGTGAGCCCACTGATTTATCAAATAGCAAACACTAGGTCTATATATATATTACCCCTATCCACTCTGGAATAACTACTTGTTGACCTACAACCTTGAACAAAATATGTACATATAAACAATAATTGTTATCAACAACTCACTGGAATGAAGTATGAACTGCATCAATTAGATAGTATCGTAACTTTAAGAAATACTTCAGAAGAAATGAAGATTTCTCTTTGTGTGTGCTATTTTTTGTACTTTGAGATGGTATAAAGTATATATACAAAACACAAAGGAATTTATTTGTTTGATAAATGTAATTATGATTTGTAATGCTTTTTTAAATTCTGAAAATAACACAAAAAGCTTAACATTAATTCTTCCATAAAATTATCTTAGTTTCAATTTCTGCATGAGAATACTTTATAACCCAAAATGATCAATTTGTGCTTCAAAATTTGTTTCTAACATTTAATCAAATGTGTCACAATCAAATATTTTATGACAAACAACACACAACAAAATAGAAATAAAGACAAACAACAATAAGCTCAGATACCTCTATAGAACATCAACTATCATGAGAATGTTTTACTTGTAAAACAAATACTGCTCGGCAGATACTATATATAACATGCACTTTGATAACTAATTAAGGTTACAATTCAACTAGAAGTACTCACCTCTAAGAAATCTGGGAATGTAGAATCTGATGGCCGATCCAGTATCAAGAATCTCATGTTCTTGTATGAAATTTCTGAAGGTGCTGGTCGAATCCCTTTACGTTTCATAATGCTCATTACAAAAACTTTATACGACAACAGAAAGTTAAATCCTTTTTTCCTATGTAGAATAGCGTTCTAGAATTTATAAATGGACCAATAAAATCCACTGTAACTACAACTTTACCTTAAACTGACGACCGTAACAACTTAGCAGTTTTTTAATATCTTTGGCTTTAAGTTTCACAGTGCTTTAACCAAATTCCATTGAGAGAAAATACTTTTTTCGCAAGGAGTTAAAAATCAATTACAAAACAGTTCTGACAGAAGTTTCACTTATGCTGAGACTGACAGTACTCTCCTGCTGTTTTCAGAAACTCCATCAAGGTATGGTGTCTCCTGACTTCAAAAGGGAGCAGAAGGGGAACCTTAGCTGACTAAACATAAAACAAAAATTGAAATGAAAAAGTTGCTTAAAATAATATGATCAAATTACCCTTATTAAGTACAACTTTTATTTTTATTCTATAAAATATTTAGATATATCAAAATAAGTTTGTTTTCATTCTTAAGAAAAATCAAAACAAACATTTTTTCCTATAAACTATAAAATTAATGGGAATTTCAAAAATAAATTTATTCTCACAGTAACTTGACTGCATAAATTTAAGTCAAAATACTTCACTTATATTCTAAAACTAAGATTAGGGTCACAAAAAACACTTTACATAGGCTTTTTTAAGGCTAACTTCATGTACACATAAACATGTAATACTTAATAAGTTCACAAGATACAGTCTACATTTCATAGCTCAAGTAGTACTTACTTTAAAAGTTTACTTTATCAAGTATTTCTACATCTGCAGCTTACTATTACAACCATCTTGTGTGCTTGCACTGTACACTGAACAAAGATTTTACCAAATATAAAATGAGCAATCTGTATGTGAAAGGAACAGGATGACTCATTCAAAAACAAGTTTTCAGAAAATTAAAAATACTTAAAAAAGCTTGGCTTAATAAATATTTTTCCCACTCAGCACTTCACCACCTTTCTCTTCTCATGTACTAGACATTAGTAAACAGATTACACAGGCTTGAGCAATAGGCTGGTAACACAAGCTCAACCTTCATCTGAACATGCTGCTTCAAGGATCATACTGTAGGAGGAATGTATTGATTTATTATTGCAGCCCTTCTAGGAAATAAATGATGTAATACTAGTGGAAACAGTAGGTCTATTGATTACAAAAAATGAATGTTTCAAAACATTTTAGTGAGAAAGTCAACAGCATAAAATTAATTTTTTTTGTAAAAACAATTTGCTTCTTTTTTCTAAAATGTTAATTGAACTCAATTTTCATTCTTTATATGTTAATTACATCTTATATATGACAATGAAGCTAGGTGACTGACAACTTAAGATACTTTTTGCATTTGACTGTTTTCAACAAAAGAACTAAAATGTCTTAACATTCACTCAATCTTATTGAAATATATATAATAAACAAATGTGGATATATTCAAGATCATTTTTTGAAAACTGAACATTCACAATAGCTGTTTTTTTTCCCACTTTCTTACAGTGTAGAAAACAAGAATAATTTGGGTTCTCCTTACTAATTGTATTATAAGCAAAGAAAAAAAATATTAAAACACTGTGAACCAAGAGGGAAATCTAAGGAGCAGAAACCCAGTCAATATTTTGTTTATAATATAGAAAAAAAATATTAAAACACTGTGAACCAAGAGGGAAATCTAAGGAGCAGAAACCCAG